TCGGGCTCCTGGGAGGGAGGGCGGGGCGGTGCAAGGTGGAGGGCAGGCCAGCGCGCGTCGGGCGGTGCAAGGTGGAGAGGGCAAGGGCGGCAGCCGAGTGCGCCGCGTGCACCATGCACTGCCAAGGATGCCTTTGCTCATGCATGCACACCACACCGATGCTTGGCAGCCACCGCGCCGCACCTTTTCCGAGGGGCACTTGATGCGCGGGTGGAGGATGAGGTGGTGGAAGAGCGAGGTGGTGGCACTCTTCTGCGGGCGGCGCAGGCGGGCAGGCAGGCAGGCAGGGAGGCAAAGTGAGCACGGCAGCAGAGTGTGGCTGGCGGTTCAACAGTGCCGCCGAGGTGGATGGCATACGGGCAAGCACAGGCTCGCAGAAGGCCATGGGGCCCAGGGACCCGAAGCGACAGGGAGGCAGAACAAGCTGGCAGTGCACGCAGCGGCGCAGGGCGCAGCAAGAAGGGGGAGGCCCGCCTGCCAGCCAATGATGAAGAAGTGTGGGAAGAGGAACTGGCCGCGGAACCTGCACCGGGGCGGGCAAAAGTGCATTGTGCAGAGGGCTATGTCAGCGTTAAACGCCTATTGTCAGCGTTGAAGGCGCTCAAAGCAGTCAGGGCGGGCGGAGTCGCCAGGGAGGCAGCCAGGCGAGCGAGGCCCACGCCAGGCCGCCCAGCATTGGCAGCGAGCGGCTGCAGCAAGCGCCATCCGCTGCGGCGGTACGGCGGGACGTACCTCTTCTTCCTGGCCGCCTGCTTGACGCACTCCAGCGTCTTGCACTGTTCCAGCGCCCTCTGGTAGGGCGACTTGCGGTGCGGCTTGGGCTCCACCACAAGGCCCACAGAGCCGCCGCCCGCGTCCTTGACGCGAGGCACATCAGACGCGCTGGCGCCGGCGCCGGCATCGGCCGCCGCCTCCCCCTCCTCCTCGGCGGTGGCAGCGGCGGCCTCCCCCTCCTCCTCGGCGGCGGCAGCGGCGGCCTCTGCGGTGGCCTCCGCGCCGGGCCTGGCCTCGCCGGCGCCGGCGCCGCCCTCCTGGCCCAACGCTCCCAAGCGCTCCTCCTCCATGGCCGCCGCCGCCTCCTGCCGCTGCATCTCTTCCTCCAGCTCCTCCTCCTCCTCATCCTCCTCATCCTCCTCATTGTAACCCGCGCCGACGGCTTCCTGCACAGCCGCCCCCGTTTCGCCATCGCCCTCCTCCTCTCCCTCTGCTGCTGCTGCTGCTGCTGCCGCCGCCACCGCTGCCACATCAACCTGCGCAGCCTCGTCGTCATCGTCCTGAGCCGCTGCCGCAAGGCTCAAGGCCTCAGCCTCCTCCTCCTCCTCGCCGCTGCCGATTTCTGCAACCCGCGGCCCTCCCTCCTCCTCCAGCTGGTCTGTGTCAGTCCAGCCCTCGTCCTCCTCCGCCTGCAGCGCCTGCTGCTGCTCTTCAAGCGACAGGCCATGCTCTAGCTTGCGGTGGCGCTTGCCGGGGCTGTGGGGGGGGCAGGGGGGGCGCAGGCGGCGAGCTGCAGCTGCCAGACTGCGCGCAGAGCCCTCCAGCCGGCCCAAAGCCACGGATGCCCGGGTGTGCAGCGCGGCAGCAGGAAACAAGAAGAGTTGACTCAATCCGCCTCACAGCTGCAACCATCCAGTCAAGTGGCCCTCCGGGCTGGCACCGGGCTGGCACCAGCCAGCCACCACCAGCGGCACCAGCCAGCCACTCACACGACGGTCTGGGTCTGCTGCAGGGTGTAGCGCCGCTCCGACGATTCACGCGCCGCCTGGAGCTGGTGCTGCAGGGTGGTGCTCTGCACTGTGTGACCCCTGCATGCCGGCAAGCATGGCAGGGAGGGGGGCACAAGGCCTGAGGAGGGCTGCTGTGCCGAGCCAAGGAGGCCAGGCTGGATGCCAGAAGCACAAGCGCAGCCGGCGCATATGCGTGTGCTGAGGGTGACGCATGCATGGCCCGAGGGGAGTCGTCATAGCAGAGTGCAGTGCGATGCAGACCGACATGTGCCTCAGCATGTCACGGGCATGTGCCCTGCATCTGCAGGTTGCAAAGCCCTGGGCTTGCCTGCCATGGTTGAGGGACACAACCGCCAGCAGGCATGCTCCAGCCAGCGCCAGGAAGAGCAGCTGGCCGTCGATGCGCCCCCTGCAGGCGTAGGGGGCCGCAGGCACAAGGACGCATGGTTGCGGGCCATGTGGCAGCCCGGCAGCAGGCGCGCACGACACCGATGCCAGGGCCGCCTTGCTGCCGTGCTCCCGCTAGCATGGGTGCTGTCCATCTTTGATACGCGAAGGCTGGAAACTGGGCCAGGATCACCTCCTCTGGTGCGCGGTGAGGTCGCCGCTGGACTCCGAAAACCTGGCCGCCCGACGGCGGCGCGGGGACGGCAGGCCCAAATTCCCTGGCATCGCGCGCTCGCGCCTCAAAGAGCGCAGCAAAGCTGGCCCTGGCGTTGATGAGCGCTCCAGGCAGAGCTGCTGCGGGTGCACAAGGGGGAGAACTTGCAGATGTGAGACGCTCGCGCGCGCTGTGGCGAGCCCCAGCAGCCCCGCGGAGGGCAGGACCGAGTCAAGGCAGTGTGTGGGAGTCTAAATCTGCGGCGTTCGCCGCGAACATGTGTGCCTGGGAGAGATGCATGAGGACCGCCGCCACGGTGGCCGGCGATGACCCGTAGGGATCACTCTCATCGATGCGCTGAAACCTCGCTGGAAAAGGCTGCTGCAGCTATGGGAGGGCCAGACGCCAGGGAGGACGTGCTGGCCGGGGGGGACATGCTGGGCACCGATGCAGTCGGCTGCGGCGTGTCGCAAAGTGGGCGCACAGCGGCTTTGTGAATCCACCGACGGATCGGGCCCCCGAGCGCGGTGGCATCCAAGACCCCAGCGCATGCCACCGTTGTTTGTGCCCGCCCCAGACCCTACCTGCTGCCCAGAGGCTGCTCCCTAGTCGCCTGGTCGATTACAGAAACGGAACAGAATGCTGAGATAGAGCCAGGAATAATTCTCAGGCGGGTATTGCCATGCGCCAAGTGCGGCAGCTGACGCGGCCGTCGCTAGCGGGAAGGTGCAGACGGGCGTCCCTGGCATTCAGGCTCGGCATCAATCGGGTGCGGGTGCCACCGTTGGCAACCAACACCGCCCCAGAGCTACCGGTGCTCCTTCCGCCGCGTCTGACTTGACCCCCCTTGACATGTGAAGTCATGTGCCGTCTCCCGACGGCTGCGCGGCCCATGGCGACAGCAGTACTCTCGTGTGCAATGAAGCAGCCCGAGATGCATCAGATGGGGTTCCCAACCAGTTGCCCTTCTTCCGCCAGTTGGCCCCTTGCTGCGCCCACGCGCTTGACAGGCTGTGCAGCTTCATTGTCCGCGAAAATCGGCTCCCAATTTCCCTCCCCTGTGATATTGTTCTGCACCAGCCCCTGCTGCCTGGGGCGGGTACAGCGTGGTTGGTTGGGAGCGCCGGGCTGGGGGTGGCCGCAGCCCACGCGGCGCGTTCCTCGGGGCCAAAATGAACACGGGAGTCGGCCAGCATCGCCAGATGCTGCGCGGCACGGTGCAGAGCCAGTTTGGGGGCACCCCCCGCCACAGGGCGCGCACGCGAGGCCGCCACCGCCGTCTTTCTGGGCATTGCCGAGTTGGAGGGCAAGGAGGTCAACAAGAGGCGCGTGGCAGCGCCATGCAGGCCAGCACCAGCCTGTGTCCTGGCTGGTTTTGGCTAGCTGCGCGGCGCCCAGCCTTTCGCCCGCCTTGCGTCGGCCGCCCCTGCCGCACCGACGCGCCCACACCTGCGTGCCGCAGGTCTCGCGTCAACGGCAAGCTCATGGTGATGGTGGTGGCGCTGGCGCTGACGGTGCTCCTCTCCTTTGCCGTGTTCAACAGCACCAACAGCGAGATAGCGGGATGGCAGTCCTACCAGCGGCAGCAATACACGTCGGGGGTTGCGTAAGTCCCTGCCTGGGGTGCCCTCCCGGGGCAAGCCCAGGGCGGTGGGTGCGCCAGGCGCCGCGCCGACGTGGCGCCCACCCTCCCAAGCGCCGGCCGGCAGCCTGCACAGTCTGCCGCCGCTGCCGCCTTTCAAGCCCGCCAGCAGCTGCCGCCTCGCGGGCGATGCACCCACCCGCCAGCCGTGCGTGGCCCTGCTGCCTGCAGGCCGGGGCGGCGCCACCGCAAGCTTGAGCGGGAGCCTGAGCCGGGTCAGGACCAGCTCGATGTAGGGCTGGAGGAGGAGCAGGCAAACGACAGCGCTGCGGAGCAGCAGGTCGAGGGCGGCACCGAGGGCGCACAGGCGGCAGTAGAGCAGCAACAAGGCACAGGTGGCGGCGGCGTGCAGCAGCAGCAGCAGGAGCCGGCGGGCGACGCATCAGGCGCGGGGGAGGGCGCGGGTGCGGCGGCGGCGGAGGAGGAGGGCGAGGGGGGCGAGGGGGATGAGTATGAGCAGGAGCAGGAGCAGGCGGCGCAGGAGGGGGCGGCGCAGCAGACAAAGAAGCGCAAGCGCCGGCGCAAGTCGCCGTACCAGCATGCGCTGGAGCAGTGCAGCTCCCTGGCCTGCCTCACCCAGGCTGCCCGCCAGAAGCGGTACCGCGGCCAGTTCCTCTTCCCACACTTCCTCATCATCGGCTGGCAGGTGGGCCCGCGGGCTGGCTGCCGGGCTGGCTGGCGCGGCAGGCCGCCGCTGCCCGCCACGGCGCCGCAGCGCCGCCCCGCGCTGCTGCCGCAGGGCGCCGCTTGCCATGGAGGGCGTCCGGCACGCCTGTGAGCCGAGTGCTGCCTTGCGCATGCTGCCGGGCATTCATCATGCTGCCCGCCCATGCCCGCCCGCCTGCCTGCCCGCCTGCGCCGCCCGCAGAAGAGCGCCACCACCTCGCTCTTCCACCACCTCAAGGACCACCCCAACGTGCTGATGCCCATTGAAAAGGTAGGCCAGCCGGCCTGCTGCCTGGCGGGCTGGCGGGTTGCTGCCGCTGCCGCTGCCGCTGGCCCCCGGCTGCGCGGCCCGCTCGCCGGCCAGCGCGCCTGCCACCGGCTGGCTCCCTCGCCTGGGCATGCGCGGGCCCACGCCTCTGAGCGCCTGCCCGGGGCCGCGCCTCGCCTGCCTCCCCACCACGTCCCCTCTCACTCTCCCTCCCTCCCCTCCACCTTGCACCGCCCCGCCCTCCCTCCCAGGAGCCCGAGTTCTTCAGCTACGACTGCGGCTACAACCCAGAGGGCTGCCCCGCAGACAAGCAGCGGGAGTACATCGAGGAGGTGGGTGTGTGTGTGGGGGGGGAGCGGGGGTTGGTGGTGGGGGGGGAGGCAGCAGAGCGGCGAGAAGGGCAGCTACCTCCCTTGCGTGGCGCACCCCGCATGCATGGCGGCGTGGCAAGGGTGGTGCAGCATCGCGGCGCGCCTCGCTGCTTGCGGGGGAGGCAAGCGCTGCAGGCCACGCGCTGCGGCAGCCCCACCCGCCGGCCCCCCTCCCGCCTTCCCGCCCGCAGACGCTGCACCTCAACCGGGCGCTGCGGCATAACATGGCTGCCGCCATGTTTGAAGGGTCCACCCACTATGGGCGGGAGGGGCACCGCATGACCCCCAGCAACCGCACCTTTGCCGCCAGCCTGTTTGAGGTGCGGGGGGGCGCGCCGCGTGCGCTGCGCTCACGTCGCGGCTGCTGTTCTGTGTATGCTCCAACTGTGGCTGGGGATGGTGATCACGCGGCTGCCTGCCCAGCGCCAGGCCAGGCTGCCATCGCCAGCCCTGCGTCCACCCCGCCAGCCTGCGGGCCAAGGCCCTGTCGGCTGCTGCGCCATGCCTGCCATGCAGGTGTTCCCCTGGGTGAAGCTCATCGCGTCCCTGCGGGAGCCCATCAGGTGAGGCATGGCGGCGCTGGCTTGCCGCAGGCTGCCTCCCGCTGCCAGCTGCGGAGCAGAAGCCGGGCGGCGGCGGAGAGGGAGGCGCATGCGTGGGATTGCGCCCTGGCGTTTGGCGCTGCCTGCCGCCCTCTTGCCGTGCCCTGCTGGACGGACGCTGCCTGCTGCCCTCCCTTCCCGCCTGCCGCAGCCGTTACCTGTCCATGCTTGGGCACAACCTGGACAAAAACACCTACACCTGCCTCAACAAGTGCGATGCCGGGCCGGGCCGCCTGCCCAGCTTGTGCCAGCTGGCCAACACTGTCACGCCGCGCACGCTGCTGGGCTGCCACCTTGCCGCCTGCATCCTCTCATCCCCTGCCTCCCCGCGCACTACCTGCCGGCCCCACTCGACCTCCTCCTGACCCCTGACCGCCCTGCTGCGGGCGCTGCGCCCTTGCTGCCCCCCTCCTGCCCGCAGGCACGACTCCCTGTTTGAGTGCCTGGAGCTGGAGCTGCCCTGGAACAACTACACCACCCCGCTGCAGGCCTGGCTGGACGTCTACCCGCGCAGCCAGCTCCTGCTGCTGCAGTACGAGAGCCTGACGGCGGAGGAGAAGGAGGCGGAGCACCTGGTGGCCGTCAAGAGGTGGGGCGGCAGTGCTGCGAGGTTCTGTGGTGCAGCCGCCCCGCTGTGATAGGCCGCGTGAGCAGGCCTTGGGCAGCGCTGCGCTGCTGTTGGTGGCGGTGGTGGGGAGGGGAGGTGGGGAGGGGAGGCGAGGTGTGGGGGGAGAGAGTTGGAGGGTGAAGCGGAGCGCCTCGAGGCCCTAGCGGGAGGGAGGTGGGCAGGGCCTATTTTGGACACTGGGCGGGGGCTTTGTTGATGGCCGACCACCACCGCCACACCCACCGCCACACACCACCTGCACAGCATGCCTACACACACACCCGCTCACCCTGCCGCTCATGGCCCCGCCTGCCACCTGCCGCCCCGCAGCTTCCTGGGCGTCGACCCCAACCTGCCCGCCAACCAGCTGGGCCACAGCAACACGCGGGCCAACCGGCTGGGCCACGAGGTGCGCCTTGGCCCCACCCCACACCCGCCTGGAGCATCTGTTGGATTGCCCCCTGCCAGGGATCTGCTGCCTGCAGCGGTGGCGTCAGCGCCGGCCGGGCCTGGCTGGCTGGCTGGCTGGCTGGTGCGCGCGGCACAGCGTTGACAGGCAACGGCCGGTCTGCCGGCCAGCCGCGCCGCCGGCGGTCCCTTCCCCTTTGCCCCCGCTCCCCTTGACCTGCCCTCGCTCCCCCCCTGCCTGCAGCCCGAGGGCTGGCCTATGAAGCGGTGGCAGTACGAGAGGCTGATAGAGGTGGTGCGCCCGGATGTGGACAGGTAGGCAGCTGCTCCGCGGCTTCCTCAGCTAGGCAGCGCAGCATCCGGTGGCGCCCGGCAGGCAGCGGATGGCCGCCGGTGCTTCGCCCCCCGGCCGCACCTCCCCTCCTCCGCCCGCGTGTCCCCCCGTAGGCTGCCCCTCATCCTCACGCCCCTCATCCCCACACCTTGCCTGCAGCCTGGCGGGCGTGGTGGCCAAGTATGGGCTGGGTGATGCCCAGGCGTGGGTTGCCAGCTGGGAGAAGGCGTGGGAGGCCAACCTGGCTGGCTGCGACGCCCAGGGCAACTGCAGCATCCACTGAGCAGCATCCCGAGGGCTGGCCGTGCGGCCAGCCGGCGCCGCGTCTGGAGCGGGCGGCAGGAGCGGGCGCTTGCTTGCCCGGCCTGCCGACCCCTCACCATCGCCACAACGGCGCTCAACACTCAACACACCACTCCCTCGGCTCTCCTTCTCTGCTTTGTTTCAACCAGACCTCGGATCGCAATGCACATGCTTGCCAGCCCCCCGTTTTCAGTTTTGCAGAAGCTAGGCCCTGCCGCAGGCTCTAGGCAGTCAGGCAGCCACGCCCCCCAAGATCATCGTTGCTATGTTTCGTATTGGCTCTATGCTAGTTTCATTGCCAGCAAGGCTCCCAGCAGAATGAGAGTCAAATAATTGCAATGCAACAACAATCGACCAACGCGCAACATCTCGAGGTGTGCGTGTGTGCAGCAGCGCAGGGCGCTCGCTGCCGGGCGCCCAGCCGGGCCCAGCCACTAGACCGCCTGGCCGGCGGGTGCGCCGCCGCCGCCGCCCCGCTCCTGAGCCTCCTCTCCGTCGTAGGAGAGGGAGGAGGTGGAGCGCATCGCCCGCACCAGCTCCTGCATGGTCCTTGTGGGGCTCCCATCGGCGCCGCCCGCGGCCTGCTGGCCCTGCAGCCGGGTGAGGGCGCGGTACTGGGAGGCGTTCTTGATGATGTAATCGCCAATGTCGGAGTTGCTGACGTGGACTGCATGCAGGGAGGGGTCGCGCGTGAGCGAATGGGGGGGTGAATGCCCACGCGCCCAGTTTGTACCGCAAGTATGTGCATATGCACCGCCCCTGCGCCACACCCCCAATGCATGCATAACCACCCGCCTAATGCCAGTGTGGCGGCACCCACCTATGCACCCGCTGCTCTCGTCCAGCAGTATGGTGCGGGTGGGCTCGATGTTGAGCACCGTGCCCGCCACCTGCGGATGTAGGGCGGCGGGTGGAGGGTGGGAGCCGGCCTGCGCTCTGCAGCCTCCCCCAGCAAGGGTGCAACACACACACACACACACACACATCCAAACAAGTGCGCACACACTTCTATATGTGCGACCCTGGCTAGTCCACACACACCACACACACACACACGCACACACACACACGAGCGGCTGCACCCCACACCCACCTCCACCCCCTCTGGGTTCACCAGCTCCACCACGTCCCCCGTCACAAACGGGCGCGTGGAGTAGAGCGAGATGGCGGCCACAATGTTGGACAGCAGCTGCTGGGTGGCCAGCCCAATCACCACGCCCACGCCGCCCACCGAGGCCAGCAGGGGGCCGATATGGAAGCCTGGGTGTGGGTGGGGTCGTGGTGGTGGTGTGTGGTGGTGGTTGTGATGTTTATCAGTGCACTCGGCAATGCAAGGTGGTGGCGGGAAGTGTGGGGTGGTGGTGGTGGTGGTGCTTGTCAGAGTGCAAGGGGCAATGCGACAGTGCGGTGCGGGGGAGGAGCCACCGGCCAAGCACAGGGAAGGCTGCGGCAAGCGGGCCGCCGCCCAGCCTCACCAAAGCCGGCCAGCGCAACGGCGGCAGCCAGCAGCACAATGGCGATCGTCACGCCGGTGTTGCCCAGGCGCAGCAGTGGCGCCATGCCGTCGTTGTGCACGTCGCTGCACGCAGGCGCGGGCGCGGGCGCGGGCGCGGCAGGTGGCAGCGAGTGGGGCGAGCGGCGCGGGGCGGACAAGGAGGCTGTGGGGGAGAAAGGAGGGGCTTGCGAGCCGGCTGCTGCCGCACACACACACCCGCCGCACGCACACACCGCCGCCCGCTCACTCGTCTGTCTGCAGCCGTTCTGCTGCCCACTCGATGAGGCGGGACTTGAAGTCGATGGCAGCCCAAGCCAAGCCGACAATCACAACCAGCTCCGAGCAATCCTGCGGCCGCAGGGATAGAGGCGGCAGGCGGGGCGGGCTCGGGGCGGGGCTGTGGCCAGCACGAGCAGGCAGGCGGTTGGTTCGATTGGGCCCCGCCAGCGGCATTCAACAGGCCAACGTCGAGGCCCCGGCTGTGCAGGCAGGTTGACGGTCCCGAGGGCAGGCCAGCGGGCAAGCAGAACTGCTGGTAGCAGTGCCATGCCAGGCACACCCACCACAGGCAGCGGGCAGCGGGCAGCCCACCTGCACCAGCTGTGTGGCCCACTGCAGGGCGGCCATCACCTGCACCTGCTTGGCCTCGCCGCCGGCAGCCAGCGACAGCCAGCGCAGCGCCGCCAGCAGCTGCTGGTCCATGCGGCCTGCGGCAGGAAGAAAGGGCGGCAGGCAGGCAGGCAGCCCAGGCAGGGCAGGCAGCGCGTCGCGGGGCAGGCGATGAGCACTGGCTGGGGGGCACAAGGCAGGCGGTACGGCCTCCCCATGAGGCGGTACGGCGGTGCACCCACATATCAGCAGTGCCGCCGGGTCCACGCCGCACTTGGTGGCGGCCACCACCGCCAGGGCCAGCACCACTGTCCCCGCCCGCGTGGCGCAGTAGATGGGCAGCATCAGCTGCATTTATAAGCAACGTAGGGGGAGAGCCAGGACGTGGCGCGGGGGCCGGGTGGGGCAGGGGCAGGCGTCTGTGGCTGGAAAGGTCCCCTCCGCCACGGGGCTTGCAGCCCGGAGGCTGGGAGCCGCGCCGCCATGCCGCTGGGTCAGCATGCGCGGCGTGACACGGCCGGCAGCTGCGTAGCCAGCCGCATGCCGCCGCCGCATGGCCGCCCGCCCGCACGGGTGCCTGCGCGGCTGGCGCCCACCTGGCAGGGTGTGAAGGCGGCTGCCAGGGCCTCGGCGCCCACGTTGAAGCGCCCCGCGCCGTCGGCGGCCCGGATGTGCCTGCCCGCGGCGCGGTCCAGCACGCGCAGCAGCAGCGTGCCCGCCGCCGCGGCAAAGGCCAGGAAGGCCAGCAGGCGCGCCGCGTGCCAGGCGGCGGCAGACACGCCCGCCAGCTTCATGAGCTCGTCCACAAGCGGCACGCCCGTGGCCTGCAATGGGAGGAGGGAGAGACGGATGGGGTTTGTAGGGTTCGGGAATGGTTGGCAGCACGTCACGCCGGGGTTGCGCGTCATATGCAACAGCACCCATGCCACACGTGGGGCCGAGAAGGGCGCGGCAGTGCGCCGGGCACCACAGAATGCTGCCCTGCATGCACGCTTGCTGGGATGCCAGGCAAGGCATCTCCCTGTCAGCCCTGGGGTCCAGCCAAGGCAGCTGTACCTCGTAAAGGACGTCAGAGGCCAGGTCTGCTAGGGGCAAGCCAGCTGCGTGCAGCCTGGTGGCTGCACGCGACCCGCTGCAGCCGCCGCTGCAGCCGCCGCGCTGCCTGGCCTGTTGAGCAGGCTGCCAATCGGGGCGTTGGAGGGTGAGTCGCTGCTTGAGAGCCAGGCCATGCCGCATTACTCGGGCTGTCAGGAGGGGGGCCGCAAGGTGGGCCAGCGGGCGGCAGCGGGGCGCCGCCTGGAAGGCTGGCCCAGACCGCAGCGTGGCGATGCCTGCTGCCATCACGCTGCGCGGATTGTGTTGCATGGCTAGGAGGGCCGGCAGGTCCTGGACGTTTGCTAGGGTTGCGACCAAAAGATGGGGGCCCGCAGCGGGCGCCTGTCCCGAGCTCTGAGACGACACGCTGATGTCGTTGTGCACTGGCAACAAGCAGATGAGCGCCTCGGCCGTCAATTTTGCAAATGGAAAGAGCACGCCATGCGCAGCACCGCGGCAAGGGGGGCGGAGTTTGGACCCGGTTCTGTGGTGCTGCCGCAGGAAGGGCGCATTCGGGGCTGGCCCCGCGCAGCTGAGCTGGACTCATCCAGCTGTTGTATGCACGATGCACACCAAACCAACGTGCAGGGCGGGGCTCCTGCCGACTTACATGATGCCGCCGCCGAGCGCGGCTGCCCGCCATGTTTTGCAGCACATAATGCCAGCTCGCCTAATCACCTGGGACAAAGCATGGCCTGCAGCTAACGTCGTCCACGAAAGTGTAGCAGCCAGCTTCTTCGACAGCACTGGGACAGCACTGGCATTGTTGCGCTGCCGCTGCCCGCCCAATCACCGCCTACCTGGCGCTGGTCCCAGACAAAATCTCGACGATCGAACCCTCGACCCATCACAGGCCTGCATTTACACCCTAAATCACCTGCCCCCGGAGCCTCTTCGTGCCTGGCCGGCAGCCCCGCCATGACTCGTGTCAAGCTCCTGCTGCTGGCAGGCGATTACGTCGAGGACTACGAAGTGAGAGGTCGAGGGAGCGGTTCCCTGTGCAGCTGGACGGTGGTTTTTGGTGTCGGAACGCGCGCATGCGATCTGTTGGCTCGTGGGGCCTTCCTGTGGCGAGCTACGGGGCGAGGGGAGGAGGCGCTTAGCGATTCTTTCGGTTCGGGCCAAAAGGGCGGGGCCGCTCCCACCCCTGCCCATTCCGCTGGCGCCGCCCGCTTACCTGCCGCTGCCTACCTGCCTGCCGCTGCCTGCCTGCCTGCCCCGCCTGCAGATCATGGTGCCCTTTCAAGCGCTCCAGATGGTGGGCTTCCAGGTGAGCCGCACCCCATCTGCTGCACGGCCTATCGCGCCGTGAAGCCTACGCCGTGCAGCCGCCGCCGCACACCACACCCCCTCGCCACCTGCAACCTCCCGTCTCCGCAGGTGGACGCCGTGTGTCCCGGCAAGAAGGCCGGCGACATGTGCCGCACCGCGGTGCACGAATTTGAGGCAAGAGTGCCGCTGAGGCTGTCGGCCGGGCCGGCTGGTGCTCGCCGCGCATGCGCCCTTGGTTGGCTTCGCGGCGCCGATCCCTCGCAGCTGCCGACCACAACAGCCTGCATGCCTGGCTGCGCTGCGTGCAGCAGCCCGGCCTGGCCCTGCCCCCCATTGCCACTGTACAATGGGGGCTCAATGAACTCCTACCCTACCCGCCACTGCAGGGAGACCAGACGTACAGCGAGAAGCCGGGGCACAACTTTGTGCTGAATGCCGACTTTGATGCCGCCAAGCCGGAGAGCTACGACGGGCTGGTGATTCCGGGGTGGGTGGCTGTGGCGAGGAGGGGTGTGGGTGGCTTTGCATGGATGAAAAAGGGGTGGGTGGATGAAGCACGGTGGGTGGATGAAGCACGGTGGGTGGAATGCCCGCGTGTGTGAGATTGATGGGGCAAGTGGAGAGGCCGGGAGCCCCCGTTTGGGAGGGCCGTTGTGGTGGTGCAAAGCGTTCTCCCCGCCGTGCTGCCCTGCATGCATGGCGCCTGCAGCGGGCGCGCGCCCGAGTACCTGCGGCTCAACCCTCGTGTGATCGAGATAGTCAAGCACTTCATGGCGGCCAAGAAGCCGGTGGCATGCATCTGCCACGGAGCACAGCTGCTGGCGGCGGCGGGTGGGCGCCTCGCTGCACGTGCCTGTGCCTGCCGTGGTTTGGTGGCGGTTGTTTTGCTGTGTGGTTCCTTCCGTCCATTTTTGGGGGGGCCACGGTTATACGCTGCCAGCCTCAACGACCCCATGCCCCGTGTCCGCACTCTGCCCTGGCAGGCTGCGTCAGCGGCCGCACCTGCACCGCCTACCCGGCCTGCGGACCCGAGGTGACTGCCGGCGGGGGCAACCACCGGGATGTGGGTGTGGAGGAAGTGGTGATTGACGGCAACCTGGTGAGCCCGGCTGCAGGCAGCTGGCCCGGCTGCGCCTGCAGCCGGGCAGCTTGCCCCACCTCTGTGAAACATGACTGCGCCCTGGCGGCGGGGGCAAGCCGGCTGGCACAGGCTGAGTTGGGGCAGTCGTGTGTGCTGCGTCGCGCCCATGCTCATCCCCTCTCCTGCGCCGCCGCCTGGCGCCTCTCCCTGGCCCACCGTGCGCTGCCGCAGGTCACGGCGGCAGCGTGGCCGGCCCACCCCAAGTGGCTGGCTGCCTTTGTGGATGTGCTGGGTGAGTGTGTGGTGTGTGTGTGGTGTGTGTGTTCCCCTCCCGCTCCCTCCCTGCTCGGCTTTCCGCTGCACGCCCTCCTCCAGCCCCTCCCTCCCCCTCCTGCCCTCCCTCCCCTGACCCAGGGTACAAGGTGGTTCACAAGGAGACGGGGGCGCGGGTGTTTGTGCCGCACCACGCCTGAGGGAACCCCACGGCGAGAGCCGCGAATAAGGGCAGGCCAGGCAGCCAGCCATGAGCACCGCCGCTGCCGGCGGGATCCCGTTAGTGTTTTCATTGCGCTATTGTGCTTTTGTTGAGCATTGCCAGCCTGGATGGTTCGATTTGGTCATGTCTGAGCAGCACAGCTGAGGCAGAGTTCAGCCAGAGATGGGTGAAGAGCACTGGCGCACCTGGTTGCTTGGCAGTTCACTCCATCGAACTGGCGGCGTCAGTTACACGTGCCAAAAACATACTGGTTAGCAGGGCGCAACTCATTTGATGCTTTGCAGGGCAGAGCGCACACGTGCCAGCACGCTGGCGCTGGGTGCCGCTGTAGCGGCGGCAGCCGGTCCTACCCCGCCGCTGTCCCCATTGCCGCCGCCCCGTGGTGGCGCCGCCTTGCTCCTGCTGCGGCTGCGGCTGCGCACGCTGCGGCTCCTGCTCCTGCTGCGCTCCCGCTCCCGGCTGCGGTTGCTGCGCTTGCGCCGCCTGCTGCCACGCTTGCGCCCCTTGGGGCTGCGGCTGCGGCTGCGGCTGCGGCTGCGGCTGCGGCTGCGGCTGGCACGGCGGCGGTGCCGCTTCTTATGCCGCTTGTGCTCCCTGCTGCGGCTGCGGCTGCGGCTGCCGCGCCGCCGCTGCCGCGAGTGTCGGCTGCGGCTGCGCTCCCGCCTGCCGCTGCCTTCGCTGCTGCTGCTGCCGCTGCCGTCTCTTGACGCAGCCCGCTCAGCCTCAGGAGCCTCAATCGGATGCGCGTCTGCCGCCTCTGCGGCTTTGGCGGCAGCAATGCGCTCCCGGATGCGCTGCAGGTTGGTGGGAGCGGCCCCGGTGGCTGCTGCTGCTGCTCCTGCTGGTGCTGCTGCTGGTGCTGCTGCCTCCTGGACGCCGCCCCAATTGCTTGCAGCATCAGGCTCATCGGGCCCCGCAGCAAACGCTGCCCGGTGCTGCGCCAGCGCTTCTTCCGGCTGTGGCCGACACGCGGCTTGCGGGGCTGGCGCTGCAGCAGCGCCAGGCGCGGCGCTGGCGCCGCCGGCCAGCAGCGCGTCGTTGGATGCCGCCCGCCGCAAGCGCAGCCTGAGCGCCAGATCCTCCAAGCTCTCCACGGCAGGCTGCGCCGCTGGGCGGCCGGCAGCAGCCCCCGGCGCCGGCGCCTCTGCTGCAGGGGCGTCGTCCCCGCCCAAGAACGCACGGCGGTGCTGCGCAATCTCGGCCAGCTGGCGCTGGCGCTGCCGCGCCGCCTCCAGCGCCTGCTGCTGCTGCCGCTGCGCCAGCAGCTCGCGCGCCCGCCTGCGGCGGCCAGGGCGGCGCACAACACACAACATGGGCGGCCGCAGAGCTGCGCCTCACCCACCCCAGGCAGCTGGAAACGGCCCACTGCCATAAATCCTCATAAACCCCTGCCATCAGCACAGCGGCCTGGCACAGCCCACCTGCGGCGCTCCGCCTTGCGCTGCTCCTCCAGCTCAGCCTCCTGGCGGGCTGCCGCCTCGGCAGCCGCCGCAGCAGCTTCCGCCTTCGCAGCGGCAGCCGCGGCCTCCGCAGCAGCAGCGGCCGCCTCGGCCCGCGCCGTCTCCTCCACTCCCTGCTCCTGCCGCTCCACCTGCCCCTCGCCGTCCTGCTCCTCGGCAGCTGCCGCATCCGCCGCGGCTGCCGCCGCTTTCTTTGGCCGCGGCTGCACGCTGCCTGCGATGGCTGGATTGGCTTTCAGTTTCAGGGCGGCACCCGCGGCTGCCTTCTTGTCCAGCAGCCAGGGCGGCAGCACGCCGCCGGGGAGCTCCGCTGCAGCCGCTGCCGGGGGCGGCGGCGCAGCAGGCGAGGGAGCGGCGCTGGCGGCAGGAGCCGCGGCGGCCTGGTAGTGCCAGCTGGGCTGCCGGCCGGCCCCGCCTGGTGCCGCGCTGGCGGCGGCCGCCGCCGCCGCCGCCTCCAGCTCCGCGTTCGCGACGGCTGAGGCCACCGCGGAGCGCACCAGCACCGCCGCCAGCCGCCGCTCCTCGGCCGCCTCTGCCGCCGCCGCCGCCGCGGCCAGCACAGCGTCGGCCTCTTCCCGCCCAAGCGCCGCCCCAAGCAGCTCCCTGCAGGCAGGCAGGCAGGCAGGCAGGCAGTGCTGGGAGTGAAGGAAGCAGGAAGCACGGAGGAAGGCAGGGAGGTGGCAGGGAGCTGTTCAGAGCCACCGGCAGGGACTGAGGTGCAACAAAGGTGGCGTGTTCCGGGGAGGCTTTGCCCAACGCAGCTGGACAGCGCAGAGCATCAACGCCCTGCCCCGCCCCGCCTTGCCCTGCCCTGCGCCGCGTCTCGCTGCGCGCGCCTGTAGTGGCGGTGGTGGCGGTGGGTGGGGTGCAAAAAGGCGAATCGCGGGTTGCGGGCCTCGCGCGCCCGCACCACGGCCTCGAAGGTGGCGCCGTTCTTCTGCAGGCGGGCGGAGGCGGCGGGCGGCATAGCTGGCGAGTCAGGAACGGCGGCGGGAGGAGAGGGGTGGCCAGGGAGGCGACGGTCCCCCTCAGGCGAGCCATCTCCAGCTTTCAGCTGTGTGGTTGAGTAGCGGGCCCTGCAAGCCATCGGTCCACGCCGGTGCACCAGGAGCGGGCATAAGGGAGGCTCTGGTGCAGTGCCGTGGCGGGGCTGTGGGGCCGGCCTGCCGTGACGGCGCCCCAGCCTGGGCGCCGCCTGCTGCCCACACAAGCGGCAGCGAGGCGCCTCCAGCCGGCCCAAGCCTGCGGCTTGTGAGCCTGCAGACGGCCTGCGGCCTGCAGAACACCTGCAGAAAGCCTGCACAGCCTGCACAGCCTGCACGGCGAGCTGGCAGCCCCCTCCTGGGTCCGTCCACACGGCGGCGCAGGGCACGCCTGTCAGGTGCGTTGTTAGTCGGCAGTGGGTGAGCATGCAGTGGGGATTGGTTGCCGGCACGGCTTGGGAGCTGGCGGGAGGGGAGGGGCGCACCTGAATGAACTGCACCAGCTTGCGCATGATCGCCCAGGCGTCTGCTGGCAGGCCTCTGGGCGGTGGCTGCTCCTCGTGCTCCTCCGCAGCCTCGCCTGCCGGCCGCGGGGCCGCAGGCTGCTCCGGGCGCTCTCCCGCCGCCTCGCCTGCAGCTGCCGCTGCGGTTGAGGGCCGGCCGCCCGCTGCCGAGCCTGGGCGCTGCTGCTGCTGCTGCTGCTGCTGCTGCTGCTGCCGCGCCTCGCCAGCCTGCTCCTCTGGCGTCTGCTGCTGCCAGCTGTCTCCATACTGCCCGAGCAGCTGCAGGGCATCCGGCGGCGGCTGCACCGACGGACCAAACTCGGGGCCTTGCACCGCCTCCTCCTCCTCCTTCTGCTCCTCCTCCTCCTGCTGTTGCTGCTGCTCCTGCTGCTGGGCAGAAGCTGCCGCGTGGCCTGCTGCTGCTGGTGCTGGTGCTGGCGCAGGCGGCGCTGGCTGCGCGCCGGGAGCCGCATTGATCTCTGCCACACCTGCTGGCTTGCTTTCCAGCAGCCACCTGCAGCAGGCAGCCAGCAGCAGGCGGCGTCGGGAGCAGGCTACGCGAGCCGCCGCCGGTGTGGCAGCTGCTTGCAGCGCGGTACGCCACAGCACGGTGCAGGTTGGGCACCGATTCATGCGGTACCACGGTCCCACGGTACCACGGTACCTGTAGAAGGGGTGCAACCTGCTGCCGGGCTCCAGGAACTCAAAGGTGGGGTCGCCCGCCTGCCTCAACCGCAGCAGCACCTCCAGCTGCTGCCCGCCGTCCCGCACAAACCCGGCCGTCTGGAGTATCACCTGCAGACCAGGGGGGCGGCTGGTAAGCGGAGGGTGGGCCGCGGGGTGCGGAAACGTGTGCATTCTATCGTATGCCTATGGCGGAGAGTGCTGCACGGCAGGTGCACACACGGCATGTGAGCTGCAGGGCCAGCACGCCCCGACGACCCAGGGGGCAGCGCACCTTGTACTGCCGCTGGCCGGCGGGCAGGTGGCCCCGCAGCCGCTGCGGGACCAGAAAGGGTGGGACGAAGGGCTCGTCCGGCGCTGCTGGCGGCAGCGCTGCCGGCTGCTGCTGCTGCTGCTGCTGCACGCTGTCCTGAGCCTCCTGCTCGATGGTGGCATCCCCGTAGCTGAAACCCACGGCAGCGTACTGCCCCGTACCGCCACCATCCCGAGCGCCGCTGTAATCATGGGCCACCGCGGCAAAGCGTGACGCGGCTGGCGGTGGCAGGCCGGGCGGCGGCAGCGCTCCCTGGTACCCCTCCTCCGCCTGATCGTCGCCCTCTCTGGCCCCAGAAAAGTACATGCGACCCGCTGGTGGCAGCAGGCGGCCGTGCCGCTGCAGCTCATGCTCCCGAGAGGGGTCCAAGTCCCTGCAGGGGAGGTGCAGGCAGGGCGGGGTGGGCAGAGACGTGCTGGGGAGCCGCGCCGCTGCTTGGTGCGCGACTCCCGGACCCCGGCTTCCTCCAGGCATTTGTGTGCGTACTGCCACCGCCGCACCTGTACCGCTCTCGCTCCAGCTCCTCCCAGCTGGCGCCTGCCGCCGCCAGCGCCGCCGCCTCCTCCGCCGCGGCGCTGGAGGGGGGCTGGCGGCGTTGCCGCGCCGAGGCCGCCAGCGAGAGCGGATCCAGCAGCAGCCTGCAGGGGCGGCGGTGTGGAGCACCTTTGATGGCTGTACAGGCATGCATGCATTCAGCCAGCCAGGCAGGCAGGATGAGGTGTGTGCAGGCGCCCAGCAGCACCACCCACCGAGCGTCCCATCTGTCTGTCAGGTCATCCGGGTCGCCCCAGCACGGCACCAGGTGGCTGCCCTCCTCCAGCTCAGCCGCCGCCGCCGCGTCGCAGAAGATCTCGGCCGGCACGCCAAAGATGGACAGGCCCTCGCTGCGGCAGGAAAGCGGGGGACACGGGCAGGGACGCTGAGCTTGGGCGTGTGGTTGGCGGCACAGCGAGCTGCGGCGGGGTGGCGGCGGCCGCGGGCGGCAGCGTGCAATTGGCGGCCGCAGCGATGCCACCGCCATCGACACAATGCGGGCGACTCCCAGGGCCACCCAGCCCGCCCACTCACGGGCCCTGCGAGTCGTGCAGCCCAGCAAATGGGCCGTCCGGCTGCCCAGGGCCACGCCGCCTCCCTGCGGAGCCCCGCATCCTAGCAATGAGTACAGGCAATGCCGCAATGCGGTCGTGGGTTTGTGCCGGGAGGAAAGGCGCGGGCCGTCGCAAGAAAAAACAAAAACACAGCTCGCTGGGAGAACCCCCATTCCTTCCGTGCGCGATCGTAGCTTTCGTTCTGGGTGCTACCATCATTTTGGCATCGGCAGCAGCCCGCGCCCGGAGGCTTTGGCCTTGAAGGTTCGGAAGCCGCTGGCGTCGCAACCCACCTGTTCCCCACTTCCATTAAGCTTTGGGGGATCCATCGGTAAGTGTCGGACCACAGGGGGAATGTGCGGGGGCCGGAAACACACTTGGATGTTTGGATCACCCCACCCCGACAGCTGCCGGCTCCTCCGTCCCTGCTCCCTGTTGGCCTGCACGGCGCAATCGTGGTGGGCATCGATCACCGGAACCCTCCGCGATGGCTGTGTTTTGAATGGCGGCTGCCTGCGCCCAGTGCAGGCACGCCAGGATGCGGCACGCCGCCATCGCCCTTGGCCTCACCGGCCTCCTGCTGATGGTGCTGGCGGGCGCCCACGCTGCCCTACACTCCGCCTCCTGGGGCAGCCGCTGGCAGAGCTGGGAGCGCCAGGTGGCGGAGCGGTGGCGGCGCACCCGCGGCGGCAGCGACGCCTGGCTCCACGCCGTGCAGGGCGCCGTGGCGATTCAGCGGGCGGTCGGCAAGCCCGGCCGCCCCGCCATGCTGCACGTCACATTGGAGCTGCCCAACCACCAGCTGCTGGACGTGCGGGAGGACTCCACCCTGGAGGAGATCGTGCAGAAACTGCTGGCGGGCAAGGTGCGCGGCGCGGTGCTGACGTGGCGGGCGGGCGGGGCCCGCCTGGGCGCCGCCTCGGCTTCCCAGCGCTAGTGCGTGGGGCGCTGCAGGCGCGCCAGCCCCGCGCTTCTACAGGCTGCTGCTCTGCGACGCCGCACCCCCCACCCGCACCCTCCCCACCCTCCCCGCCCCCCCCCGCACCCTCCCCGCCTGTCACATCACAAGCCCTCCCTGCACCCACCTGCCCCCGCCTCGCAGGCCGGAGAGCTCCCCACGGGGATCGAAGTTGTGTCGGTGCAGCGTGTCACCCGGCGCCGCACCTCCCCGCTGCGCGCCACGCTGCGCGCGGTGGCCGCCGCGCTGCCGGTCTCCTGGAAGCTGGTGGGACGGGACCGTGCCGGGCCTGGGAGCGCTCGCGAGCACCCCGCCAAGGAGGGCGGCGAGGAGGGCGGCGAGGAGGCGCCCAGCCGGCTGGGCGGAGAGGAGGCGCTGTCTGTTGAGCGCTGGGGCGGCGGCACGGCGCGCGAGTCCTCGACGGCGGCGGTGGCGGCGCCCAAGGCCTCGGGCGGGCTGGGCGGCGGTACCGCCGGCTTCGAGCTGGACGAGGATGTTGTGTATGCGGTACCGCAGCGCCGCCAGGTGGCCACCGACGCCGACGGCACGCCCCTGGCCGTGGGCATCCAGCGCCGCGCCAGCCTCAGCGCCGATGCCTGGAGGGAGCAGCAGCGCCTGCCCATGACCGCCTTTGACGATGCATACGTGGACGGCGAGGACGGCGGCGCCCCGGGGCTCACCGGCCGCCGGCTGCAGCAGCAGCCACAGGAGGAGGTTGTGGAGGGGGAGGAGGAGGAGGAGGAGGCCTGGACCAGCATGACACTCTTCGGCCCGCCGCGCTCCGCAGCGCAGCTGGCGGAGCAGCAGCGGCGCGAGGGGCAGGCGGAGGCGGCTACCGAGGCGGCTGGCGAGGCGGGCTCCGACGCCACGCTCGCAGACGAGCCTGAGCCGCCACTGGTGCTGGTGCGGGTCACGCTGGTGCATCGGCAGCAGGCGCTGCGCGAGCGCCGCTTCTGGTTGCGTGGCAGCAGCGCCGCCGCAGGCGTGCCGTCCCTGCTCGACCAGCTGGCGCTCGAGGCCGGCCAGCCTGCGGCTGGTGACGGCGGCGAGGCGCCGCTGGGCCGCAGGGCGGGCGCCAGCCACGGCTGGGGCGCCTACCTTTTCAGCCTGGCTGCCAGCCTGGCTGCCGACCCAGCCGGCGGCAGCGCACCGCAGGAGCAGCCCCAGTGGGAGGTGGCTGGGCCCCTGGGCTCCCCCCGCCCCGCTGGCAGCGCCCCCAGCCCGGCACTCCTGGCAACGTTTGACGGGTTGTTTGCGGGCGCCCTGCTGGCGGCGGCGGTGTGCCTTGTGCTGCTGGCCGCCGACATCCGCCGCAACGGCTGGCGGCCGCGGCAGGCGCAGGCGCAGCAGCTGCCACAGCTGGTGGTGGTGGCGGCGGACGAGGTGGCGGCGGTGGCTCCGACCTCGTGTGCCGCTAACCTGCTGGTCTAGCTTTGCGGGAGGCCTGCAACGTACTGTCCCCTTTTTTGCACCATGCCCTCCATAGTAGCCGGTGTGGGGGCTCTCTGTCTCTCACCCCCCACCCACCCTCTTGTACTGTTCGTAGCGCGCTTTTTTTGTTCCCTTCTCACTTCTCATTGGAAAGCCTTATCCATATCAAAGCTGGCTCTTGCTCTGAAGCAACGGTTCAGCAACCTTCACACAGCAATGCAGCTGTGCAAAGCGGGCACCAAGCTCACCCCACTCCCGCTGCTTGCTCACTCTTTCATTGCGGGCCTCACCCACTTTTGCAGCCAACCATGCTGCACATGAAACACTTGCTGGGTGGTCTGCTTGCGACTGCGCGACTCTTTTTTTGCGGTTTTGGTGCATGGGTTGGGTTTACAGCCCATGATCATAGGGCTGGCAAGGGGCTGGCAAAACATGTAAGCACACAACAGCATGCTTGCAGGTGCAAACCAAGCCGACCGAAACCAGCAGGCATGGGCTCGGCAACCTTGGCTGGTGCGGAAGAGCAGGCGGGCGCGCAGCGGTGCTGCTCAACGCAGCCCAACGTTGGTGGTGACATAGCAGGAGTGGTGGGGGGAGCGGGTAGGGAACAGCAGACTGGTAAAGGCAGGTCAGAGGAGCAAGGAATAGCGTCAGGGTCGCAAAACTGAGGGAGCAGCGCAGCCGCTCAGCCGTGGCTGCGCATGCCCGCCGCGCCGTCACGTGTGCGGCCGCACGGCCGCGTGCTGCTGGCAGGCGCGCCACTCAGTACTGCCGCGCGGGCTGCTGGGTGGGCAGCAGGCCAAACCGCCTCTTGCAGGTCGTGCGCTCGCGGCTGAGCTTGTCGTCAGGCGAGAAGCGGGCGGGGTGCGCCGACTCGGTGGGCTTGCCATCGGGAGCGTGCTTCTGCAGCAGGCATAGCAGGGTCGAGCAGGGACGGTGAGATGGCCCGCCATGATGCGAGGCGGGAGCGGGGCGCGGCGGCAGCGGCCTCTCAGCGGTGCATGCGGGCCGGCATGTCTCGGCGACAGGCTACCGCATGCGTATTACGCGCGTCCCTGCGCGTCCCAGCTGCTTGTTCTGCACTGCATGCCAGCCCCCGCACCTTGAGCGTGTACACCCGCTCCCCCTTCTCGTTGGTGTACTGCATCAGATACATCCTTGTCCTCTGGGCTCGATTTTAGCCGGGCGAACGATGCAGCCGCCTGCGGGGGCCTCCCTCGTGATGCCGGGCTTGTCGCACCCTGGGCGCTTGGCGAGTAAGTGCTGGGGTGGAAGTCGATAGGTTTCCTGAAAAGGTGAACAAGCCGATGGTGAACAAGCCTACATGCATGGCCAGCTGGAAGGCAAGACAGCAAGACAGCCCCTTGCTTACCGGTGTGCCGCATCCCTAGCGCCTCCGACAGCCACTCTGTTTGTTGCTGATCGGCCTCAGTGGCCTCCAGCCCTCGTCCCAACCGCACCCGCCCTGCTCAAACGATCGGCTTGGTGCAGCCCAGTCTAGGGCCCTGCGTCATCCCAGCGCGCCTCATGCGAGTGGTGGTGCAGCGGGGGATCGCCCCCGGCCGGCCAGGCAGCGGCAGCGGCGCCCGGCAGCGCGGGCGGGCCGCGCTGGCAGCGGCGGCCGCCGCCGAGGCGCTGCTGGCGGCGCTGCTGGCGGGCCTGCTTCTGCTGCCGCGCGCGCACGGCGCGGCCGCGGCCGCGGCAGGCGGCGACGGCGGCGGGCTGGGGGTGCACGACTGCCCCCAGCACGCCAGGGGTGGCTCCATCCTGGATCTGCCAGACACCTCCGACTGCCGCAGCCTGCTGCGCCTGATGGCCGCCTGCCTGCCCAGCTGGCACGCCGCCGTGGCGCGCGCGGAGCCCGGCAGCAGCTGCTGCCAGCACGCCGCCGCCTTCTTCGACCTGCAGTGCCACTGCTGGAGCAGCCAGTTTGACGGCGCGGTCGTGTCGGGCGTGGGGGCGGTCGACGACGCCTGCAGCCCCGGCACCAGCGTGGACGATGCCGCCGCCACCGCCACCGCCGCCGCATCCGCCGGAGAAGGGGCGGCCGGCCAGGCGGCGCAGCAGCAGCAGCAGGAGCAGCAGGGCGAGGATGCCTCCACCAGCGGCGGCGGCGGCGCGCTTGCGCGGCTGCGGGACTCCGTGTTTGGCGGCGGCGGCGGCGGCCAGGCGCGGCCAATACACCTCAAGACCGCGGGCGAGCTGCAGCAGGGGCAGGGCGAGGGTGCGGCCGCGCCCGGCGGCGTGCGGCTGTACGTGGGAGTGCTGTCTGCTGCGGCCAGGCGGGAGGCACGGGACGCCATCCGCGCCACCTGGGGCGCCCACCCGGCCGCCTACCGCACCCGCTTCTTCCTGGCCCGCCCCGCCAACGACACGCTTTTTGCAGAGGTGGGCACCATGGGCAGCTGCGGTGCTGGTCTGTGTGTGGAGGTGGGGCTGGAGGGCGGAGGGCGAGGGGGGAGGGGCTGGGTGGTGCACACGGTGCGACGAGCCGGCAGGCTGGGTGGCCGTCTGAGCAGCAGCGGCTGCTGCTGCACACAGCCAGCACCAGCCAGCCTGCCGCTGCCTGGCCCGCCCCTGCCCCTCACCGCCGCGCCGGCGGCCGGGTGCTGTGCCGCAGGTGCGGGCGGAGGCGGTACAGAAGCGGGACATGGTGGTGCTGGGCCACGTGACAGGTCGGTCCTGCATTGGCAGGGAGGCAGGGAGGCAGGGAGGCAGGGGAGGAGCGCGGTGTCTGCTCGCTGAGCTTCCAGGCGAGAGGGAGGTGTGCCGCTGGGCCCGGTGCCGGCCTCGCTCCGCCGACGGCCCTCTCACCCGCCTCCCCAGCCGCTCCCCCTGCTCCCTCGCACCCCCACACCCCACACGTCAACGCCCCGCTCGTCCCCTGCTCCCTCACGCCGCCCCGCGCCGCCACACTGCTCCCACGCCGCCCCCTCACCTGCAGAGGCGTATGCCAACATCAGCCACCAGACGCTGGAGGTGATGCGGGTGGCGGCGGCAGACCCGGGCACCACCCACGTGCTCAAGACAGACGACGACAGCTACGTGCACCTCGACCGCCTGCTGCGCCGCCTGCCTAGCCTGCCCAGGTGCGGCGGCACGAGCGGGCGCAGACCCCGGCCCCGCGGGCCGCTGCCCGGCTGCCCCCGCTGCGCTGCGCTGCGCTGCGCTGCGGGGTGGTCTCCCCTGCTTGTGACCCCTGCCTGCGGCCCCGCCAACTGGTTATGTGTTCCTGCTGCTGCCCGCCGCTGCCTCCCACCCCCGGCTGCGGCGCCGTTCCCTGTTTTTTGCAGGGAGCGGCTGTTCTTCGGGAACATTGAGAACCCGGGGGGCAAGCCGCACCGGGAGCCGGGGCACCAGTGGTGCGCGGCCTGCAGGCCCGCTCGCTTGCCTGCAGTGCCGGGGCAGCTCCTGCGCCGGCGGGCTTCGCCAGCCGCCGCCGCACCACCAACCTGCTGCTGCCTCGCCCGCGCGTGCCGCCCCACTCACGGCAGCGCCTCCCATGCTTTCCTCCCTCTGCAGGTTTGTGAGCAGGGAGGAGTGGCCCAGCGAGCGGTACCCGCCCTGGGCGCACGGCGCCGGCTACGTGCTGTCTGCTGACCTGGCGGCTGAGGTGGCATCGGGTGCGCGCGCTCCATCGCGCGCCCGCACACAACAAGGCACACGCCGGCGCGTGCCCGCAAGCGCGCCAGCCTCCAGGCCGCAGGCCGCCCCTCAGCCACCCACCCGTGCCTGCCTGCCTGCCCGCCTGCCATGCGCCCCCACCGCCGCCCGCAGGAACCGCGTACGCCGCCAGCGTGGGCGGCCACCTGTTCAGGTTTGAGGATGTGGCGCTGGGCGGGTGGCTGGAGTGGGCTGCGGAGCGGGGAGGATTCAAGATACGCCTGGTGGCAGACCGGCGGTGAGCTGCTGCTGCCGCGGGCCGCTGCCGGCCCTCTTCCCGTCAGGCTGGTGCCGCGGTTGTGCTGCTGGTGCGGCTCGGCTGGCCCTCGCTTGTTGGTGCCAGTGCAGCGTCGGGCGCTGCACACGTGTGCGTGCTGCCCCCGCTGACACGTGCCGCCTGACACCGCCAGCTCCACCTGCTGGGTGCCCCCCCTGCAGGTTCAACTTTGGGGGCTGCCACCACGGCGACCTCGTGTCCCACTACATCCAGCCGCGGCAGCAGCTGTGCATGTGGGCGCAGGAGGGGCGGTGCAAGGGCTGCTAGCCGCGCGCGTGCGGCCGCCGCCCCGTGTGCTGCTGTGCTGTGTAGCCATGTCCTCTGACTGATGTTTACAAGGTTGGCATGCGAGGTGGCAGGGCATGAGGTGCATGCATGGCCATATGGCCAGCAGTGAGCGCGGTTGGCATGCATGCCACCACATGGGCTGGGCTCGGCCGCTCAGGGCGCCAGCGGTGGCGGCTGCCCAGCTGGCAGGCAGGGGGATCGATGCATCTCAAATATATATGGGCAAGGTGGTGGTCTGCCATGTGTCGCGAATGAAAGCAGGGGGCAGGAGTGTTAGGGAATACAAAGGAAACGACGGCATGCGGGTGATGCGTGGGCGGGGCAAGAGGGGAGGCGTGCGGGCGGGAGCTGCGGCGCTCATGCAGGGCACATTCGTCTATAATATTAATAAGAGCCAGTCATGAATCGGAATGAAAATATGGGGGCAGGGCAGGGCAGGTTCAAGGGGCAGTAATGAATGAAAAAAATGGACAGGGAAGCAGGCAGAAGCGGGTAGCGCTTGGCATGCAGCGGGGCCGCCGGTCGCACGAGCGGCAAGGGACGGGCGGCATGCAGATGCAGTGCAAGTGTGTTGAGTTTGGGTGTTTGAAGGCAGGGGGCGTTTGAAAAAGGCAGGGGCGCCATCGGCGCAAGGAGAGGGGACAGCAGCCATCAGAAGCCACCCAGAAAGGCACGTGCCGCCGCCTCCACCAGCAGCCGCGCCTGGTCGGCGGTCAGCTGGCGCCCCCGCTGGCACTGATGCCGCACGAAGTTGACGGCGAGGCGGAGCATGGCGGGCTCCTGGCAGGCTGCAGCAGGCGTGTGTGGGGCAGGGCGACGGTTGGTGGCCCCGGCAACGGGAGCTGGGCGGTGTCGGCATGCTGGCTGCTTCCCGTCGAGGCAGGCAGGCATCCTCATCTGCCGCACCTGGCAGAGCACACCCCGCCGCATCGCCAGCTTGCTGAGCGCGTGCTGCCCTCTGTTATGCAGCCTGGCATCATGGCATCCCAGCCACCCCGCCCCGCCGCTGCCGGCCCCCCCCTTCTCACCTGTGAGGAAGCAGTGGTGCGGCGGCACCGCCGCCGTCTGCAGCGGGTCGGCCCAGAAGCGCAGCAGCAGCCAGGCCAGCTGCAGCCGCTCCTCCAGCTCGTTCATGAGCGGGAGGATGCTGGAGGGCATGGTGGAGGGGAGGGGCCCGCCACGGTGCCGCCGCTGCTGGCGCTGGTGCTGGCGCCGCCGCTGCTGGAGCTGGGGGCGGGAGGCGCCAGCGCCTCGCAAAGGTGCACCAGCGGCGGCCGCCCCCCCACCAGCTCCTGCGTGGAGGCCTCGTGGAGGAGCAGCAGGCGGGCCATCAGGCGGCTCTGCTGGCGCACGGCGATGACTAGGGGGCTCATGCTGCCGCAGCCGTCGGGCGAGACGCCGCTGTCACGCAGCGCGACCAGGTCGGGCGGCGGCAGGTCGCTCACAACGAACTGCGAGGGGGCGCCCTCCGCCAGCAGGCGCCCCACCACGCCTGCCTGCCTCATCTTCACGGCCGCAAACAGGCAGGCGGCGGGGCAGAGGGGCCAAGTCCCACGCGCGTTGCACGCCGCCACCAGCCGCCCCACCTCCCCGCTCTGGCCCTGGACGATGGCATCCAGCAGCTGCTCGCTGCTTATGCTGCTCGCACCATCGCTAGGCATCAAACGGGGCCAGCCGGGGCCCGAAAACGGGGCGGAAATAAGCGCGCCGCTCCCTGCCAGGTGGGCTGGCGCGTTGTGCGCACAATCGCTGAGCCTTGCTGCGGGCGCACGGATGAACTTGTAGCAATGTGTGAAATGTTTGTAGAGCCGATGGGGGTGGCAGGCACAACAAAGGCCATAACACGTCAGAAAATATTGCAACAGGCCGACTCGCCACGTCCCCGATGCGCAGCAACTTCATGCCTCTCCCACAATCACCCAAGTGAGTGCAAAAGACTCTTTGCAGCGCAATGGCACGGGTGTGCTGCGGCCACGGGACCGGCCGGGTATGGCGTGTGCCCGCCCGCACGCCGATGAGCGCGCAGCCACCGTGGAAGGATTCAATGGGAGAGCGCGACTGGCTTGGTGCAAGGGGGGGCTGCGACGCCGCCGACCGGCTGCCGCCCGCCATGTCACCGGCCCAGCCATTTAATGCCCGCCACTCCACAACCCCCAGCCTGCGCCACACTGCATTGCCTCGCGCGTGGCGCACGGCAGGGCAGCTGCTGCCCCACATAAGTGACGCCTTGATTCTTTCAGCATCGTCACATTCCAGCAAAGAACGGATTTACAAGATTCTACGGTGCAGCAGCTGGCCAGGAAGAGGCGCAGCGACGGTTGCGTTTCACAGCAGCATGTCGGCAAGCCACCCAACGAAGCTTGAGCGCCGGCTCCAGTCGGCCTGGTGCTGGGCGCGCCCCTCCTCTGCCCACGCGCGGGCATGCTGGCAGAGGGTCCTGGGGAGAACAAGAGGCACGAGGCCACTCACGCGGCAACTCGCGCAAGCAGAGCCCCGGCAGGAGTGGTGAGGAGAGCGCTGCCGCACCCAGCCGCTCACAACCCGCCAAACCGCTCCAGCCGGCGGCGGCGGATGGCATCAGCCTCCTCATCCTCGCCCTCGCGCCGCTGTGGCGAGTGAGCAGGCTGAGCAGGCGGCTGAGCTGGCGGCTGAGCTGGCGCCGGCGCCTCGGCGGCAGCAGAGGCACCAGCGTCGGTCGCCGGGGTGGCAGCGGGGGCCTCAGCCGCGGGGGCGTCGGCTGCGGGTGCCTCAGAAGGTGCCTCGGGAATGGCAGCCGCTGCAGAGGTGCTGGCGCCACTGCGGGCGCTGTCGGCGGGAGCGGCATCCGCCGCCGGCGGCGGGGCAGGGGCAGCGGCTGGGGCGGCGCTGCCTGCGCTGCCTCCGGCAGCCTGCGCCTGCGCCTGCCTGGCTCGCTCCGCGTGGGCCCGCAGCGCCTCCAGCTGCTGCTGCAGCACCCGCTCTATAGCCGCAGTCGCGGCTGCAGTGGCTGCGGCAGTGGTGGGATCGGTGGGGACGGCGGCCGGCACGGCGGTGCTCGCCGCGGCGCCGGGCGGCGCCAGCATGCTCGCCGCCGCCGCGGCCGCCGCCGCCGCCGCGGCCATGTGCTGCTGCGGGGTGGCGGGCTGCGGCGGCTGGGCAGCGGCGGCAGCGGCGCCGGCCTCCGTCGCCGCCGGGGCCGCGGCCGCCTGGGGTGGTACCATGGGCGGTACCATGAAGGGCATGTGGTAGGGCATCATGAAGGGTACCATGCCGGCTGCTGCCTGCTGCGCCTGCAGCACCTGCTCCGGGCTCTGCTGCCCGGCGTACTGCACCTGCTGCATGCCGCCGGCCGGCATGAAGAGCGCCATGGGGGCGGCAGGCACCCACTGCAAGAAAGAACGGAGGGCAGGAGGTGCGCAGGATGGGAGGTGGGCGGCGCGGCCAGCTGGCAGGGGGGCCCGGGAGGCATGACGCAGCTTGCGGCGAGGTGAAAAATCGCGTGGGGTGGTGAGGTGCGCACTGTCGACGGCCGGCCAGCTCAGCACCGCCTGGCGCCAGCTCAGCTTCCACCCAGCCGCGCCTCACCTGCACCTGGTGCTGCGGCACGACGTGCCATCCGCCCTCCACAGCCACTCCCGGCACGGCGCCTGCCGCCGCCTCGCCGTGACCCCGCGGCGCGCGCCGCCGCCGCACGTGCGGCTGCGCCTGCTGGCCACCGCCGCCGCCGGGCGCGGCCGCCGCCTGCTGGCCGTCGTGGAAGGCGCCGCCTGCTGCCGCGGCAGCAGCGGCGCGCTGCACAGCGGCCAGGTCGTCGGCAGCCGCCGCGCGCAGCTGCTGCGCGGCGGCGGCCAGAGGGTCGCCGCCGGCGCCGGCGCCGCCGCCTCCCGCCGCCGCGCCGGCCGCCGGCGGCGGCACCACGCTGCGCCGGCAGATGGGGCAGTTCTGCTGCCGCTCCAGCCACGAGCGCAGGCAGTGCAGGTGGAACACGTGGCTGCACCCCAGCTTCTTGTTGCGCCCTGCAGCCAGGCAGGGAGGGGAAGGGGGTGTGCAGGCCTGTCAGGCGGCGGGCTCGTACGGGGCCGGCCTGCAGCCACCCGGGCGTGCGTGGTGCAGCAGCACAGCGCAGCACAGCATGGCACAGCGCGGCGTGGCGCGGCGCGGCGCCCCCCACCCGCCGTCGTCATCTCCTCGCGGCAGATGATGCACGTGTGGTCGGCGCGCTGCAGATCCTCCTCGCTGGCCTCTGGGAACGACTGGTCCATGTTGGCTGCGGGGCGGGGAGGTGTTCATTCATAAAAACATTCATTCATTCATAAAAACAAGTTCTTAAGGTGGGGAGGCCGGCGAGCGGTGAGGGTTGAGCCAGGGGGGAACAGAGGGCCTCGCGCAGCCCGCCCTGCCGTGTAAGGCACACGCACAGGCGCAGGCGCAGGCGCAGGCGCAGACACAAGCTGCCGGCCCGGCGCGGCCGTGGCCAGCCCGGCGTGCAGCGCCGCACGGGCGGCGCACCCGTGATGCGGCGGTACCGCAGGAAGTCGCGCACGCGTGTCTGGAAGTTGCGGAAGGTCCAGTACAGGTCACGCACCTGCGGGCGGGCACAGGGGCGGCGCGTGTGGGTGTGGGTGCGCTGGCGGGCGGGCGGGCTGTGTGCGGTGGGCAGCCGGAAGCGCCGGTGCCAGCAGCATGTGGCAGCAGGATGCGCCAGCAGCATGCGCCGCCAGCATGTGCCGGCAGCAGGCATTGGTCTGCAGGCGGCGCCCCACCAGGTGCAGGGGTATGCCGTATGTGGAGAAGACGACGGCGAAGAAGGCGCAGTAGACGAGGAGGTGCAGCATGTCCAGAGTCAGCTCCAGGTAGAAGACTGGGGGTGGGTGTGGGTGCGGTG